AAAACAATTCAATTTGAAACCAGCCTTTACCTGTCTGTCACTGAAATTATCCACTCAGGCAACCAAAACATTTTATATTCTGTACAGTTCTGTTCTACTCGTACTCTATAGCAGGTCTTGGGGCTCTCAGAGACCTCTTAGAGAAGCCCAGATTTCAGAAAAATGCTACCACAGCCCTGAATCCCTAGAAAACAAGTTAACAAGATTTGCCAGCATATTCAGTGGACATTATTTCCAGCCCTGTGAAATCCTTCTGCAACTTGGAAAAAAAAAGCAAAACAACACAAAACAGGAACAACACAAAATAGGAAGAAACAAAGGAAACCATAACCACACATAAACAGCCGAAACTTCCTCCTCCTTCCTCAGCACAGGCTTTGTTTCTCCCCTTGCAGCTGTTTGGGTGTCAGCAGAGATCACCGAGGCAGCTCCTCACCTCCTGAGAGCTGAGGAGATGAACTCACTGCTCACCCCCGTGTTAGGGAGCAGGAAACGCCCTTTTTTCCAAGCTGAGTTTCTCAAACTGCAAAAAACAGTGGCTGAGAGCCTGAAGAGGTCTAGATGTGGTGCTCCCAGTGGCAGGAGTGAACCTCCAGCTGGTGTCACTGGAGAAAGGCGCAGTCCCAAATATATTCCCACCAGTAACGGGTTGGCTGAGCCAAGGCAGCTGTTCCTCAGCACCAAGGGGGCAGAGCCCAGCCAAGGAAACAGAAATTCTGGGGGGTCAGCTAGAAGGGAAGAAAACACAAACAATAATTTCAGGTAGCAAAGCAGGCAGGGAGAGAGGAGTCCAGTGTGTTCTTTGTGCAGCCATGGCCTCATCACGTGGGTTTGCAGCACACAGCCCCCACTGGACTGACACCAGCTCCTACTTTCTCCTTCCCTTCTCCTTTTCCTCTCACCTCTCCTCCCATTCTTCTCCCTCCCTTGTGCTCCCTGTGCTCGCAGTAAATCCAGCTCAGGAGAAGAAGTGAAAGGGAGTGCTGGAGGGTATTTCAAACCCCTTTAACAGAAGGCAACAACATAAGCAAGAGACATTGTTAAATCTGGAACAAAACCAGCTCTCTGCTGGAAAAGATTCCAAGTGCTGTCACCACTAGCACACGTAACACTTGTCCTTCACTTACTGTAGGGGCAAGACATCCACAAACACTTGTTTGTGGGGGAAATGCAGGACAGCAAATGCTCCAGGCCCATGGGAGGCTGGGAATTTGGAGCCTGGGGATGAGCTTTGTTTGGCCATGAGTACAAGAGTGCATTTACAGTACAGAAATGTGTCACATCCCCCTCTGTGTGACAGAGGGAAGGAAAGGGTTGGGAATGAGGAGCTGCAGCCTTATCCAACCACAGCAGTGCCTGCAGCATGACCTGAACGAGGGGCTCAGCAGTGCGTTAGGGTGAGTTATCAGTAAGACCTGCTGAAAGAAAAAACAAAGTGAGAAAACGATGCTGCAGCTCTCTGGAATATGGGATTTTTATACAGTTGGACACAGCCTTGCTAGTTCACAATACACGAGTACAGAACACAGGGCACTTGCTGGGTCCCAGGACAGGATCTTATCCCAAATTTCTCCATTCACATCAGGTAACCTGTATGAGCCCAGGCTCTGTCACTGCTGCCAAAGGCTCATCCTCAGCTGTCTTGGCTATGTCTGCAGGACACGAAGCATTTCAAACAGCAGTTGCAGTGAAATGGGCAGAAAGAGTTGGCTGGTTCTACAGTCTTGGGGTTTTGTTGCCTGTAGAAGGTCCTATCAATCTAAAAATATTGAGTGGTTCACTTGCTTACACATGAACACTTCCTGCGTGTCAGTGAATCAGCAGCAGGTGAGGAACAGCTTGATTTCATCGCCAGAACCTAAATCACTGAGCTCTTTACACCAGAACCTGTATGGGTTTAGCTGGGCCTGACACCCAACAGCCAAGGACGGACACACCCCTCAGTAATCCCCAATTGCACGAGTTAGATGGTTCCATCGTTTTTTCAGGATGCGCAGGAACCTTTGAACGCATTATGAACCAATAGTTCTAATTTTGCATCAGGACAATGGGAGGTTGAGTTTGCCTACAGCAAGTGATGATCCCCAGAGATTCCTGCGTGTGCAGAGCCTGTCCTTGCATTGTCCAAACACAGAGAGAAAACAGTCTGATGTGATTCCAGCCCCCGCCCCTTCCATCACCAACCTCCAGCCCTTTGTGCAGCCAAAGGAAGAACACACAACATGCACTCAGCCAGACAGAGCTCAACCGCCTGCAGCCAAAATACAAAAGATTGACTATCTCTTTTTTTTTTGGTGGTATAATCACTCTGTCATGTATAATGGATGCACAGGCAGAGTTTGGGCTTTTGAAAACCTCGAGCAAAGCTTTACTTTATTCCTGTAAATCTCACGGGCTTCAAATGGAAGCATTCCCTTCTGTCAGCAGCACAGCCCTTAGCAATGAAATTCCTCAGCCCCAGCAGGACTCTGAGATTTAATTACACTTGGAAAGCAGAGTGTTATCAATGGCTTTGCTGGTGTGGGAGTATATGAGATACAAAAGCCTCAAAACATTGGTAACCCCACAAGGGGTATGGGAAGGGAGGGACCAAACAACAGATTACCCCCAAATTCTGGTTTCTTCATTGAAGACTCAGGATTTCTGGAGGTCTGAGAGTGGAGGAGGCTAAAGATGTTGGGGATGTGTGGGGAAGGATCCAAAATACCTGGAGGGGGGTATATGGAATTAATCAGGCAACTCTTACCAGTGTGCTCCAGGTGGAGAAGCCGGGAAGGGATAGAGAGCCGGGGTTTTTGCTTAGCTGTGGAGGCTGGAGAGGGGGGAACACAGCCCAGAGGGGACAAGAAGGGACACTGCAGAGCCCCTCCCTACCCAAAGAGAACAGTCAGCTCCAGATAAACTAAGGGCATAGAGAAAAAGATGTCATTTAGAAAGGTTTGTTTCTCTGTCTGACAAGATTGAGGCTCATTATGCCAGATATCAGATACCTCAAGTACGTTGCCCCATCCCTGGAAGTGTCCAAGGCCACGTTGGATGGCGCTTGGAGCAACCTGGGATAGTGGAAATGTCCCTGCCCATGGTAGGGGTGGAATGAGCTGGATTTAAGGTCCCTTTGAACCCAAACCATTCTAGGATTCTGTGATTTTTTTGTGGTTTCATTTTGCTCACAGGGTTTCAGAAATGTGGTCAGCCTTGTTTTACAGAGGGAGAGAGCAGATGACGTTCCCAGGGTCAGCCTGTGGCTGAGATGGGAATGGGTCAGAGCCCCACCTCTTTTAGGTGGCCCAACTGCAAGATCACAGCTGCCTCCTAAATGGAAATCACACATCCACAGTAATGGGGCTGAGCTGCAGAGCCCCGACTGTGATCAAAGGTTTGGATGCCTGGCCTCGGGAATTCGAAGCATCATTTTGGTGGGATGCATTACAGTGGAAGAGGCCAGAGACTGCACTTGCATCAGATTGCCAGTTTTTGATGTGGTCAGCCCGGACCTGGTCAGGGGCCCTTTGTGTTCCCGTTCTCTCTGAGAGATGTAACCCTTCAAAGAAATGAGAACCCCCCACGTGCTCGTGGCCGCTCAGAGCACACGGGAGCTCACACCGTCCCAGGGTGCTGTCCCTGCCTGCTCCTCTCCGGGGCAAGCACACTCCAGCCCCAGCACGGAGAATTCCAGCCCCGGGGAGTCTGTGGGCTCAGCAGAGCAGGGAGGGAATCCAGCAGCAGAACCACTCCAGGATTATCCAGAAGGGGGAGTGCAGAGCATGCACACACAGAAATCAGGGGCTGCTCTGCCGTGTCTCACTGCAGAGCACGGGGGCTCTGTAAAGGTCCTGCACTCCCAGTGAAACACCTGCACACTCATCCAGCGAATGAGCTCCCCTTTGCTGTGTGTCTGGCTCACATTCTTCTTGGAGTTTTCTTTTTTAATATATTTTTGGTTTTTTATAAGCTTGCTTTACATATCAACTTTCTAGGCAAAATTAATTAACTGAAGTAAGTTTGGTTCCAAGTCCTTTGCTCCCTGATTTGATAAGGAACTTGTAAGGAATGTTGCCGAATGCAAATTCAGTTAATTGCTCAGACTTAGCCGAGAGGGAGGGTTACAAATTCCCTTTCCAAGCGGAACTGCCAGCTTGTGTGTCTCTGTAGCATCAGACCAAGACGGTCCCCGGGCGGTGCTGGAGGTGCCCTTGACAATTCAAATGCAGGACCACACGAGCACGGCCGCGGGCAAACCCCGTGTGCGGGAATGAACCAGTTAGACCTGGATCACGGAAAGGAAGCACGAAATGAGCGGCGGGAGTAGAAAGGAAACAGTGCTGACAATGTTTCCATGGCTTTTATTTCTCCACTGATAGAAGTCCTCTCCCACCCCTTCAGCACACGCAGTTCACCACCCCACTGAACTCCTTCTATACTGCCCTAAAGCTCTGACCTTGGTGTGACTTTTTTCCATTGTGCTTATCTTTGTCCTTCACTCTAGTTAAGGAAAAACCCCAGACTAAATTCTGAAAGGACTGAAAGGCAATATTAATTTCGTTTAGCTCCCAATAATACTATAAACAGTAACAACACAATTCTTTAATGATTATTACCTGATTTTATGTGCTTTCCTTACTTAACCTTTCTCTTCTTTTTTTTACTGTCTTTTACAGATTATCAAGAGCCAGTATTCTGTTGACTTCTGTTATTCATTAAAAAAAAGTTCAAGGTCAACAGATAAATATGTGTTGTTATTATGGTTTTGTAAGCAAATAACTTCCAGTGCAGTGAGAAAGATTCTGAAAAGAAAAAAATGGAAACAAACTTCCTGCCTGTGCCACATTAGTACACAATTTTATCTAAATGGGTTAAAAAGAAATCCACTGCTGTAAATTAAATTATCAGTGTGATATATTGCTTTATCTTGCTGAACTTGCACCCTCTGTCTGCAGAAGAATCAGAACAGCAAGTCCAGGTAATAAGGTCTGGTTATCTTCAGCAAGGTAAATACCTAAGGCAGGAATTGGTGTAACTTGCAATCTCTCCAAGGTGGTTGAGCTTTGTTATCGAGCCCTGGAAAGGTGAAGGTCCAGGTCCAGCCCAGGCTCAGCTGATCCCTGCCTGTGTGAGGGGCAAAGGCAGCCTGAGAGGGGACAGTCTGGGCACAGCACAGACACCTCCTGAAATGGTCCTCACTGCAGGAGAACAGGCTGGCCAGGGCTTGGAGCCACTGGCCACAGGGAAGGTGTCCCTGCCCACGGCACGAGTGGGACTGCATGGGCTTTAAGGTTCCTCCCAACCTAGCCCATCCTGTGAGAAGAGACAGCGATGGCTTCTCCTCTCCCCTACCCCAGTGCACTGGGAGGGCTGCAGGAGGCATTGCAGTTCCCGGACCAAGCACTCCTGGTCAAAGGGCAGGGAGGTGCCTGCCAGCTGGGAACCTGCAGGGCCCCTGGCTCTGTCCCAGAGGCTGGGAGGAGTCCCAGCCAGCACACAGGTGAGCTCCAGCCCACGAGGAGTCCCTGCACAGCCCAAGGCAGGAAGCAGCAGGACACCCATGGACAGCCGGGGTGTCCACCATAAGTGCCAGCTAAACCATCTGGCCACGTCTCTTCCCTTGAGCAGGCCCGAGGCAGGAGCACTGACAGCAGAGGCAGAGCACTGAGACCACAGGCAGGAGCACTGACAGCAGACCGTCCCAGGGGCTCTTCAGGAGAGACAGCGGGAGGTTCTGGCTGCTGAGACACAGCAACTCTGCCTCGTTTCCCAAGGTTTTTCCAGCATAAGGATGACTGGGCACACACAACAGTTTGCACCACAATGCTTGGCAAAGACATTAGCTATTTTTTAGGCCCAATAAACCACTTAAAGGTTTGTATTCAAACACAGAGTGGTCACCGCCAGCAGCACTGTCTGGGCTCTGGCACAGCCCCTCAACCCTTCACTGCACTCACTTCGAATGCATGAAAGTTCAAAGCCCCGCCGCCAACAAAGGCTGGAAAAAACTAATCCTCCTCCTCATAAGGAGAATTACCTGAACAAAGGAAGGGAATGGCAGCAAATGATGCCAGTGAACAACTGGGATCGGTAAGAACAGCCATGGAAAGTGGAAAATTGCGGCGAAGCTATAACAGAGTGGCACAGAGTGCTGGATGCTGGTGCAGAGCAGCTGACCTGGCTTTCTTCCAGTGAGGAACATCTCTGCTGCAAGGATTGGTTGGTTTTGGTTTGCTAATTTTCTAGAAGCTGAACCTGTTTCCAAGACGAAACAGCTGTTATTTTTATTTGAGCTAAGGTTCAGCTGGGAAAAACATCCCAAACATAAAACCCATGGTGGAATCCAGTACAAGCTTTTCTACGGGAGCACAAAACTAAGGAAAAACCAAATCCCTACTCACTGACCAAATTTCTGGACTGAAGAACAGGAAGAAGGAAAACGTGCATGCTGCTGCAAAGAGCAGCCATCCTGAGCTTAACACAGGAGCTGGGGCTCTCTGTAACTACTGCAGTCTCCCCAGTTACTCAAAGCAGCCACTTTGAGAGCTCTCTCCTTGTTCTGAACCCAAAGGCTGTCTTGCTTCACAGGTCACAGCAATTCCTTCCACAGAGACTTATAAAATAGTTCTTTGGATCACCTTGGTCTGACCTCCCTCGGTTTCTTTCCCCCTTGAGTTTAAGCAGGGATTTGCACACCCATGTTAAAAGCAGGAAAGTTTACCTGTCTGGCCTGATAAGAAAACTCATTTCCTGCTAGAGAAGCATTTTTATTTTGATTTAAAATATGATACTAGCAGAGTAGCCATCAAAGATAATGAAGTATCCAGAAGTTCTGAGCTCCTGATTTTAACCATCAAGAAGAAGATGACACACTGACAGTCTGTATTTTCTCTTTTGTTTTCAAAGGAAACTTAATGCTTCTGAAGGGCTTTGCAGCATATTTGATGTGCTACAGGTTGTTTGAAAAGAAAACTAGGAAGGCTTCAATGGACCTTTCTTTCCCTTTCTGGTCTCCACTATGCAGAAAGGTTAAACCAAGACAAGGAGGAAAGAAAATCAACAGAAACTCCTGTTTGCACGATTCCCACCTCACGTGTTTGGAAAGACTACAATATTGGTCAAATGAAGACAGCAGGAAGCACTGCAAACTCTGGCAGGCTGAAGGTAAAACACAAACCAAAAATAAAACATCCAGGCAGGCCAAAACAAACTTTTGAGGGACAATTTGTAAAAGGCAAAGAGGAGGTTATTGGACAAAGACATAAATGACCCGTGAGCTGCCAGCAGGATCATGTCCATCCTCACACTGGTGGCAGGTCCAGGAGGGTCTCGGGGATCATCCAGAGCACCTGAAGTCTGACAGAACTCGGTGCAAGGCACAAGGTTCCTGTGGTCACACTGCTCCAGGGGGGATGCCTGTGCATTGGAACAGCCACATTTTGGGTGTTTTCCAAAGACTGCTCTCCCCTGCAACAGTTTTATGTAGTGCAGTCTTGAAGTGCCAAAGGTAAAATCACTCTGACTGGTTTGCTGCTCTCTGAATAAAGAACAATTTCTTCTTCTCCTGTCACCTATCCTGGCAGTGTTGCAGGTTGATTTTGGTGCCTTCAAGGTGCCCACACACCTGAGCCTCTCCAGAGATTCGTGTTTCCCCAGGTACTTCTGAACCTGTTTGTGGGCTGTTTAATTTTGTCTTTAAGAATTAAGCTCTTCAGTACTGACACATGCATTCCATCTCAGAACATCCTGTAGCACCAGTTCTTCACGCCCTGTTGTGTGTACAACCCCTCAAGAACCCAGATATCCCATATTCACTTTCTCCTGCTTGGAGCCTGTTTCCCACAAACTAAAAGGAAGCCCCAGGCCCCTTTCTCCCAACCAGAACGACCGTCTCAGCCAGCCAAACATCCCTCCTCAGCTCACACTGTTCCCATCTCAGTGCTCCCAGCCCAGCATCAGGCAGCTGCCCACGGGAGAAGGAATTCCTGGGAACAAGGTCACTCAAGAGTTATGTTGCAAACTTTAACAAGGCTTTCTCTGGCTCCTGATTTAAAATTAATACCAAAATTGGTCCACTTTGTAATTTCCTCTTCCTTAGTAGTAGATCTTAGGTATCAATATGAGATCACTCTCATTTGTTCTGTCCAGCTACACTTGAGTTCTCTTGATTTTATATGTATGAATTGCAATTAGTTGGGGGGAAGGGGGAAAGTATAAATAAAGTTTTAAATAAATATAGTATGTAAGTATATATATATACTTATAAATATAAGTATAAATAAAGTTTATAAATAAAGTATAAATAAACTTTTGTTCAACAAAATATCAGTTTTGCTACATCCAGAATTTTGAGAGCACCTGGGGCCTTTTACAGGTGTCTCTGTGACTGTGTGGTTTTATATAATAGTGTTAATAGCTGTTATAATCACACAGAATTAGAACACACCATAAATTTGGATAAATATATACATATTATTAAATTATATAATAAAAGCATATAAATATGGATTTCACCTGCTATTTTGAACAAAATGGGTGTGGCAACTGAGGAAGTTACTCCTGATATTTGAAAATAAAAAAAAAAAAAAAAAAAAAAAAGAGAGAGCCTGATTAAAGTAAATGTGCAAACCCTTAGTCATGTGAGTAATCCTTTCCCTGCAAATCATTTCCTGACGTCAGGTGACGCTCCTGGTGTGGATTATTTACGTGGTCAAGGGCTTGCAGGAATTAGGGCTGGACATCAGTCCAGAAAAAGTCCTCCAAGGTCTCTACAATTATCTTAATTATTTTGCCCTTTGTAAAGTACCCTTTCAACTGAAATGCTACTAATAAATCCAGTGTTTTCTCTGGGCTCTCTGTTCGGTTTGCCTAGGTTTGCAGTTATTTCCTTGCAGTCCCAGGGATTGGAACAGTGACCTGAGGCTCGATTTGGCACCGTAAGGTAATGCTGCTGCAGGAACAGCTTGTGCTGGACGGGGGTTAACTCTGCTTTCAGGGCACCCCTCCGAAGGGTCAGAGTTCAGACACTGATATATGTCAGTGTAACCGATGCTGCTACAGACCCAGTCTCTCACTTAATTCAGGCAATGCCAGTATGTTGCTGTTTCTCCTGAGCTGCTTGATACAAGATTCCAGTGCCAAATGATCTCATCACAAGTGTAGGAACCCACCAGGCACAAGGCTTGAAAGCTTTTACTATATAAATGACCAAAAAGTCTCCTTTTCTCATTTCATTTCAATCCTATCCTGATTCTCTAGTAATAATATCTTATAATACATCCAGTAATGTCTCACCATAGCAAAGTCCCATTTCAGACTCATCCTGACTTTGTAGCCTCGCTCCAATCTTGCACTGTTTTAGTGAGTTCTATAGCAGTATATTCAAGAGATCACTACCACAACCTTAGTTCAGTGGTGTCTATAATTTTCAGTATGCAGCATGAAAAAGGCACAACAGAAGTGGGGTTTGTGTTTACTTGTCCTCTGACCAGATGGGATCCATAGCTTGATGCCATAGCTGGTTGTCATTGTGTTGTGATGCTCAGATCCTGATTTTATTTCCTTTTGTTTTCAAAAAGAGCCACTTGCTAAACAGCTTGGACTCTACATCAGAGTTTCACATAGCCACAACCTCCCCATTTGTGACTGGTGAGCAGTGAAACAGTGGGTTTAGTAGTAAAACTGAGATGTAGCGTCAGAATGAGGGAGATGTACACGAGAATCCAGGGCTTTTTAATGCTTTGGGAGGGAAAGAAATTCCAGGTGGATTTTAGTGATAAGACCAGAAATCATGACTTATGTTTACACAAACCACTATGAACCCTAAAATGAACACAGTCCCTTGGGAAATTTCATCAATGCCACAGGACAAGGCTGCAAAAAGTGAAAAAGGAGCATTCAGGAGTTTCCCTTCCAATCTACGTGGGAGTTGATTGCAATTTAAGAGCATCACAGAATTATAGAATTGTTAAGGTGGAAAAAGACCTTTCAGATCAAGCCCAGCCATGAACCCAGCATGACCATCACGGTCGCCACTACACCATGTCCTCAGGTGCCACATCCACACGTCTTCTGAACACTTCCAGGGATGGGGACTCCACCACTCCCTGGGCAGCCTGAGCCAG